CCTGTCTGCCAGCTGGCAGGCTGCAGTTCTGGATGGAGGATGCTAGAGGCACTGTCTTGGGGGAGAGTCGGCGAGTGAGGCATGCTGCCGGCCCTTTCCCTGAGTGCCTGAGCCACCGCCAAGCAATGCCTTGGAGCGGAGCTCACTCCCGGCCCGTCCTCAAAGAGCACCTCCAAGCCACCAACAGCAGCTGCTACTGCTTCTTCCAGGGAAGCAGCTCTCTGGCACCTTTTCTGTCAGCACCTCCAGCACCAGCCCAGTCAGCGGCCGCCTCAGCACCTGGTGGTGCTTCCTCCTCCTCCTCTTCGTCCTGCTTCAGCCGCCTCAGGTCTGCAGGCTGCCTGGGCTCGCCTTGTAAAGTTTGCTCCTCTTTTGTGGGGGTAGCTGCTGCTGCTGAATGCCCCTTTTTTTGGAGTGGGGCCCTCAGAATAAGTTTGCCGTACTTCTGTGTGTGTGTGCATGTGGGTGCACACCTGGGGGGGCCACCCGGTTTTTTAATTTCATGGGTACCAATGAGGGCTTTTCTCCTTTGGCAAGGTGATTCTGTGAGGGGTTTTAAAAATTTTATGCCGTGCCCTCCTCCCCTCTGGCTATGCGGTCAGTGGCACTCCCTCCCTTTTCCGCTTCTTTGTCCTCCTCCTGCTGGTGGTGGTAGTGAAGAAGGAGCATGAAGGGGTCATGGCCGGTGACGAGGGCTCTCACGCCCCTCCTCCTCCTCCTTGGAGGCCCAGCCGGGCTAAGGAAACTCCTGGGCAGCTTCCTCGGGCTCTTGATCCGCTTTGTGGAAAATCAACCTCACCCAGCTTCTGTCTCCAGCAGCCCCAAGGTAAATTGAGTTTGAGACCCCTGGTGTAAAAAGAAAAGGATGGATGTTCTAAGGCTAACTGATGAAAGAAAAGCAAGTAGTGAAGAGAGAGAAGCTCTCATTTGTTTTATAAGTCTTTATCCTCCTAAATAATAGTAACTGAATTTTAAAGAGGGTACCAATGAATTTCTACTATTTAATTTTTATAAACAAATATATATAGTGTGTATTATTTATGAAGAACTAGGCTCTTCTGTGCTATTATATTTAGAGCAGGGGTCTCAAACATGCGGCCCGGGGGCCATTTGCGGCCCCTCAGATGATAGTTTGTGGCCCTCACCTTGCCTGCCCCCCCACATCCTCTGCTGTCAAGAGTAAAAAAAAGCCTTGCCTCGCTCGCCAGCTCTCGCCCAAGACAGCACTTCTTGCACTCTCCATCCAGAACTGCAGCCTGCCAGCCAGCCCACCTGTCTGCCGGCTAAGGAAACTCCTGGGCCGCTTCCTCAGGCTCTTGCTCTGCTTGGCGGAAAATCTGATGCGTCCCAGCCTCATCCAGACTCTGCCTTCAGCGGCCCCCGGGTAAATTGAGTTTAAAACCCCTGATTTAGAGTATCCTGCTTTGTCATGGCAGGGATTTTTGGAAGGAGTGGAAAGTTTGGTTTTTCAAGCTCCAGTCTCTTTGGGTGCTAGGCTGCACTGGGTCAGAGGTGATCAAATCCTTTGATCCTTAACATCTGAGCTTCTCAGAGGCTGGGAAATCTAAGCCTTGGGAAAATTTGGTTTTGCTGACTGATGCAGAACAGAGGAATATAAAAATTGGGAGAGATCTCACAAAAAGTATTATTAGAAAGGAACAGAGAAACAGATGTTTGGTTTCATGATGCTGGGTGGAAGTCCTTGGAAGAGCAGAAAGATAACAGTGTGGCAGTGACAGCTATCAATGGATTTTACAAACTCTGGGTGAGAACAAAATTTTCTGTTTCTTAACAACACACATATCCAAATAGTGCTTTTTAAACTTTGCATATATATTTTTTTAAAGTTTAAATAATTTTGCATGTCTTCCATTGAAAATAATAAGGGTTTTTTGATTTTTATCATTGTATTCTTAGGAAGTTTGAAATGTTCTGAAGATGTATGCTATCTTTCTGGATTATGAGCACCAGTGTTTTAATGTGTTTGCATTCTAGATTCAAACAAACCTTAAATTTTCCCTATTATCTAAATTTAAGTTGCTGCATATTTTTACAAGATACAAGGATGTATTTTAAGTAAGCCTGCAGTTTTTTCATGATTGTATGATGCTTGGATTTAACGACGACAGATCTCTACCAACAGTTTTTTCCTCACGCCTGTAAGAGTGCCTTACATATTTTTTTTGGATTTAGTATAATTAATTATGGAATCTAGTAATGATGTAAATAAATGAACTTGTACAGAATTAACAAGTTTTGGAATTGCCTTGAATCACTGGAACAATTAAAATACTTCCTACGAGATACCCAGATGAGCTTCAAACACCTTGTCACTGGCTGTCTATCTGATGGAGAAAGTCGGGCTGAACCCATCCTGACCGGAGTGCCGTCCTTTCCTGAAAAGAGGAGGGAGAAGTCCATGGAGCCCCAGAGACAGAACATATCACCCGTCAGAGAAGTGACACCTCCATGGGGAGAATGGAAAGATAGCGAGATGAGAAGGGTCACAGAGAAGACCAGGAGGATAGAGATAGTTCCATGTGAAGAATCAAAACTTTAGGCCAATGAAGGTATGGGAGAGTCTGGAAATAAAGAGCCTGGGGTGTCTAAGGTGGAAGTTCCAGTGAGGGAAGCAGAAGGTCCATCAGAGGAAAGGATTGACTGGGTAAAGGAACATTAGGGTAGCAGCAGAGGTGCAGGAGAAAAAGAAAGGAATAAGACAGGAGGGGGGAAGAGAAATATATCTTGGGGAACCATCAAGAAGGGAGAGAGCAGAAGGTGGAGAGGTAGAAGGGCAAAATTAGGATATTACCACAAGGCTGGGAGTGGATATGAATGGAGAATCCCTGGACCAAACAGTGGGAGAACTTGATGATACCTCATAAGAGGCAGAAAGGAGACAGAGAGAAGTAAGACCGGAGAAACCCTCCTATTGGGGAGAGAAAGAGGTTGGAAGGGGGAGGAGAAAGATCAGGGAGGAGAGAGGCACGCTAGCTGAAGAGAGAAAGGGAGAGATGGACCAACCTCTCAGAGAGGGCTTTTGGCAGGACCCCGGTGGGTCAGTTGTCTTCCAGTGGTGACAACTGGAATTGGAGAATCTCCTTGCCTAGGAGGTCTGTAAATTTCTGTAGGATTCCTGTGGAGTCGGGTATCCTAATGAAGGTCTGACCTGTAGATATCAAAGACATCATACAGGGAAGAGGCCATAGAAATACACGGAATGTAGGAGGACTTTCCATAAAAGCAGTCATCTTTTTATTCATCCAAGAACTCATACAAAAAGGAAACCTTTGAAAAACAAAGAATGTGGGAACAGCTTCAGTCTGAGCTGACAGGCTTACAATATTCATTTTATTTATTTTAGTTTATTTATTCTATTTATATCCCACCCATCTGGTCAATCGACCACTCTGGGCGGCTAACAACAGCCCTTTAAGAATTGATAATCAAAGTTCGTAAAAAGTTTGTAAGAAAGAGTCTGATTAATTACTTCAGCTGTGCAAGTAACTAGCTGACCAGTTTGATTTAACCCAGCTGTGGAAACAATAATGCTGGAGAAGAACCCTGGAGAAGCTAATCTCTGATTGGCCACTAGGGGCAATAAAATTAAGAGCCTCTGAGCACTTTTTTTGGGTTGAACGAGGAGAGATGAAGGCACTACTCTGCAGGACAGATTTACGATGCTGGATATTGCTATGGACTCTGGATATGTGTTATGGGAAATGGACTGATATTGAATGCTTTATTGTGTATGACCAATGGACTGAACTAAGACAACTCTGTCTGTATGACTACGGCTACAATACAATTTTTTCTTTACCTTAATGAACTCTCTTTTCATTGTTTGTCTGCATACTGGTACCTGAATTGGATAAATCTCTGCTAGGGTAGAGGAAAGATCCCAAGGAAACAACAGAAAAACTCTATGGTTCCTTATGTGGATAAAAGTTGACTGAATAAGCGACAGAGGCACCCGTTATTTAGAGCACATAACAACATGGTTGAGAAATCAAAGCGTGAAGTCTGGATTCCAGCGTTTCAATTTTTTTACCACAGTGGTGCCTCACTTAACGATTTTAATTGGTTCCAAAAAAATCGCTATGTAGAAACATCGCTAAGTGAAACGCGTTTTCCCATAGAGATGCATTGAAAACTGGATAATCCGTTCCAATTGGAACGGATTAACGTCCTTAAGCGAAAATTGCCATAGGAAACATCGCTAAGTGAAACAATGTATCCCCCATTCAAATGCATTGAGTAGGCTTCAATGCATTTCAATGGGGGAGAAAAAAATGCACCAAAAATTAACGAAGACTCAGAACAAAGCCAAATTAAGTTTGCAAAGGTTTTACAAGGTGCACTAACGAATCCAAGCATTTAAAACTTTAAAACTTTAAAATTCAACAACTAATTTCAAAAGAGTCAGAAGA